CCCAGGTATTCTTCCAATGCCTTTTTTCCTTCTTCAGGTGTCTGGTGTACTTGCAACATTTCACACTTGCCTATACGCCTTGGTACATAGAATCTGTTAACATAGCTGCATGGAGGAAGGGCATGATTGTCATTTTTGTGGTCTTCCTATCCAGGGCTTCTAGTTCAGGTTGTATCCATTCCACTATTTCAGCTATACATATAAAATGACTGAATTGCACAGCTGTTAACCATGATCTTCACTTTTTGGATGTATTCACTCATAGCCTTCTTTTTGACTTTGGTGTACTTGACGTTAGCATGAAGGATTCCCAAGAATTTGTTGTGATCTTCTTCATCCAGATTCAGAGGTTATTTCTGTAGGGCATCTTGACTCCTTCAGTTTTCACTATTTTCCCCGTTGATGGTAAAAATGGCACATTTATCCAGACCAAACTCCATTGCAATATCTTAGCTATATGCTGTATGTGGACGGTATTAAGCAGTGATTCCATTGTTTTTTTCATACAGCATCAGACAGTCCATGTAAATGAGGTGAGATACCGTAGCAGATGTTTTTGGTTTTGATAGCCATGTCTTGACTTGTTCAGTATTATTGATAGTGGAATCAATGCAATGACAAAAAATAGTGGCCAAAGTTAAGCGTCCTTGAAAGATTTATTTCTTGATGTTGATCTCTCCCAGATGTCACCATTGACCAGTAACTATGTCTTTCATTGTGCCATTGATCTTTACACAAAGCTTCTGATGTTTTTACCGACACCTGTACTTTATAGACATTTAATTATTCAGTCAAATGGCAGGGAGTCAAATGCCTTCTTGTAATAAATCCAAGCTACATTCATTTGGTCTTCCTTCTCTTACAATTTTCCAGTAGGAGCTGATCTTTTGACCCACTGCTGTTTGGAAAAATTTTCTTTCAACAGGGAGAAAGATGGAAAGAGCTTGTTTTTAACTAGATGTTGTTGGACTGCATCAGTTGCCATAACCAGTTAGCAATTTGAAAATTGTTGGTAAGCAGCTAATTGGCCTGTAGTTGCCTGGGACTGTCTCTTTTGCTGGACCTTTCATTATCAGGCAGGTTTTGCCAGATATTAACCAATCTTCAGTTTTATCTCCTTGTACTATATTGTTAAACTGCTTGGCAAGGAGTTGCACAGACCACTCAGATGCTTTAACCAAAAACCATGCAGTTCATCTTCACCTACCGTGTTTCCATGAATATAAGCCCTACCTTGAGTTTCAGAGGTGAGCCTAATATAAGTCTGAAAGTAAGCCTTACTTAAGAGCCTGTGCAGCTGACCAACCACCGATTCTGTCTGGTTGCTACCGTAGCATAGACACAAGTGGGGGGGGGGAAGAAGCTCCCAGTGCTGCTACCATGAGGCTAAGCCAGTGGAGAGGGGGGAATCTGACCCACGTATCCCAATTCCTGGTTCCCTGCTGCAGCCTCTCATACTGCCCCACTTGTTCTGCGGCCATTTTTGGCCACGCCACGTCGCGCCCACCAAAGTCGCTGCCAAGATGCCTAGCAGAGCCCCCCCTCCAATCGGACCCACGCAGCACCTTTCCAGCTTCGATGCATTCCTCTGTCACATTCCTCTGCCGCCATGTGCAGTCCAACAAACAAAAGATGTTTGTGGGACTAAAAAAAAAAGTTCTATCAATTCCAACTTCGCAAGATCTTTTTTTTCCACGAGAAGTTGGAATTGAACTTTTTTTTTTTAGAACAAAAGAAGTTTGTGGGACTGCACACGGTGGCGGAGGAATGCGACAGAGGAATGTTTGCCGCCTGCTGTAATATAAGACATCCGCTGAAAATAAGACCTAATGGGTCTTTTGGTAAAAAAAAAATATATAAGACCCAGTCTTACTTAGTCTTACTGACTAATTCTTGATCTTCCTTGTCCTTTTCTCCATTTCAGCTCTTGTTACAAGCTATTTCAAATTCTTTATTTTAGCTCCTTTTTATTTGTATCAATCTCCTTTATCCAAGCTGCATTTTTGTTGTATTTCTTTGAGTTGTCCAACAGCTGCACTCTTTCTTCTTTATCAGGTGTTGACTGACTCATTGCAATCACTCCTTTCTGATTCAGCTGAAATTGGAGACTCTGCCTAGAGTGTGTAATTTGAGCTTTGTATCAGCTGATCTCCTTGGCTATAGCTGTTATTTGCTACTTTATTATTTCCAGTGCTTCCTTGATCTTCCGTATCCAGATAATATAAGTTAATTGGGCATTGTTTGATCCTTGTTCTTCAGCTTTTTTTTAATCTATTATAGCTCCTCTTATCTAATCTTAGCCTGCTGATCTTACTTTCCAATCTGATGTTCCATTTGGGTGGTCCACTGTTTGGCTTTTTTTCTTGTTTATTAATTTTGCATGCAAAATCTTCAGTTATAACTGCAGCTATGCTGTAATTAATTTGTTTCTTGCAATGAGCTGGTGCCTATATTTGATATTACAATATTGGCATCTTTTAATACTTAAGGTGTTTCTTTGGAGCAACTTCAATGCAGGCAACCTTATTCTGTTGTTTTTGTGCTGTTCTAGTGCTTATTTTTCATTTCATTTACTTTTGTTTCTCAGTGAAAGAACTTTGTTCTTTCCGAGGCAAAGGTAGACAAGAAGATGCCTGGTTTGAGAAAGAGAACAATTTAATAAAGGTGCTGCGTAAGAAAACAGGCAGAGCTGGGAATGGAAGTCCCCATCATCAGCCTAGAATCATTACATTCCCACAAATGGTCAAAATCCAATCTCTCTTGAGTGCCATTGATCCTTATCTACTTATCTACTGCCAATTTAGCATTGAACATTAGTTGACTAGATTCATGGGTATAGGCTTGAGGAACATAATGTATGGTCCTGATTTTTTGCACCTAACCTGATGCTGGTTTCCTCTACTGCTGATTTCTAGTTTGTCTCTGTCTGAGTTACTTCTGGCAAGGCTTCAGTTTCTTTGCCCTGAATAGACCTTTTCAGTCCTTCCAATTCTACTGTGAATATTTTATTCCATATTATAAATCAACATTAATCTGCTAGCCTCTGTTATATTGCTTCTAATTCTGGATATTGTTCTTTCCAGAACTGGTGCATTTTTTTCAGACATCTTCATTGGACTTGATTTGTAATAGCGAATCTTTATTCATTTTCAGTCTTTGTATATTTGTAACAAGACAGCAATTTTTGTTCCAGTAGTCCTGCAGCTGCTGGCCTGATTTCTCAGCCAGCAGTCCTGAATCTTGTAGCTCACTTGTCACCAGGTGTCTAGGAACATCAACACCTAGCATGGTCCTTGTTGACTCAATCAACTACCAATCCAGTATAAGTTTCTGAAAGTTCTTTCTCACCATATTGTTTATGGGAGAGGGACTCTTCATCTGGCTCCTCTGATGAGACCTGTCCAGCATGGTTGAATTTCTGGCATTGCTCTCATGTCCCTCAGAGCCAGCAAGCCCACAGCCACTTCAAGTTAGTGTCTCACTGAGTGAAATAAATTATTATGGTTGTTCACACAGTCAGTCAGATGTTTAGACTTGATTTGGCATTTTACATACCAGACACATGCTTTTGTTTGTGTTAAAAGTATTGTCACAAAATTTAAGCTGTTCTAATTATAATTATCCTATTATTAGTTTTCAACACAGAAAGCTTTTATATTGTTTACTTACCTGATACTAAAGTTTGCCATTACATTTCTGCTCCATTCATGTATTTCAAGCTAAGCAAGTTTCAATTTTATTTGAAATTTTAAAATATTTATTACATTACATTTATAATTCAAAAGTATATCATAAAATTCATATAACACGTAAGATTTAAAAATCACAGGACATGATCAACTAAACCTTTGATTATCCCAATATCAATCACCTGTGATACACTGTGCGCCATCTGTTTTGGACAAAGTTGTTCCTCTAACCCCCCAAAAATTAACTGTTTGAGTACGTCACAATAAAATTTACTGCTGTGATAAATCTGCAACTATATAGAATGTGACATTAACATGAAATGTAACATGAAAATACTTTATAACATAAAACATACTTTATCAATTTAGACTACATTCAAAGCTGTACATTCTTTTGAAGACTCCCTTGTCAACTAGCATCTAAGATTTTAGTACTGATTTCTTTACTGTGAACAATTTGAACAGGATGCTAAATTTTTGCATATAGCTGTACTATATACCCTAGAACAGGAATCCCCAACCTTTTGATACCAAGGACTGGTTTCATGGAAGACATTTTTTCCACAGACTTTGCAGGAGGGAGGAGGAGCGCACAACCTAGATCCCTCACATGCGCAGGTTACAGTAGGGTTTGCGCTCCTGAGAATATAATTCCAGATGACCTGAGGTGAAGCTGATGCAGTGATGCCGGTGCTGGGGAGCAGCTGCAAATACAGATGAAGGTTCGCTCATTCGCCACTCACCTCCAGCTGTGTGGGCCGGTTTCTAACAGGCCATGTACTGGTACTGGCCCATGGCCCAGGGGTTGGGGACCCTGTCCTAGAAGATATGCAGGACTACAAGTTTAATTAAACTTTCTTACAATATTAAAAAGTACCAATATAGTGTTACATATCTGTATTTATAAGGCACAGTGTATAAAGTAATATCTTCTAAGATGGATAGACAAAGTTTCCAGCCCTTTTTTCATCGCCGTCTTCTTTCAGCAGATTTCAAGAGGAAGAGTAAGGTGTTAAAACTGCCACTTACATTTCCAGTAACATACTGTTGCCTAAATCTTTCTGGACAGATGCAGCTAATGACAACTACAACAGTTTATATGAGCTTATGCTTTTAACAGGACATTTGCACCACCTGATATGTAAGGTTAAATATTGACTTTAGAGTCCCAACAGTGCAATGTTACCATTGTATTGTTGCACTCAGTACCAAAGTCTAAAAAAGTCATCAGTATATGTATTCTTCAGTTTGACCTGCTGCTGAACATTTCTGAATAATCCTATTAGCTTAATAAGCTTTCACATGTACAGCAATCTGCATTAGGGGACAAAATTGAGTGAATCCAGGTCTATCACACTACTGTAGATATGATCTAGAATGAACTTGCTGCTCAGAGAACTGAGGTATTTCCATCTTTTAAAATCTTTGTGCAGGGTTGTTCCCTTTCCTTCTATACATGTTAGACATTCTAGCTTTTATCACCAGTTAATATTTTCCTGCCCTGACTGAATTGTTGATAACGTTTTCTTACTTTTATTTTGAATATACAATCCTTTGGGTTGTTAGCATCATTTATCAATTTCAACTGCTTCTCAGCTTTTAATTTTTCTAACATTTCTATAATTCTAAGCTTCTTTGGGGCATTCCTAGGTGATAAAGAAAACACTATTCCTTAGTGATTTGTCCTTCTTTCCTCCTATGTCCTTTTGGTTTTCAAATCTTAATTACACTAATTATGCAGCCATGTGAGCATTCATTTTTTCTCATTTGGTATTTTTGCAATTGTACTTTTAATGCTTACTTTTGGGAACTTTATCCATCTTTGATCTCCTTAGTCTATTAATTTTTATTGGAGCTAACTTAATTAAAATCCATTTTCTTGAAATTTTAGATAAGCATTTCACTATACTCACCGTCTGTTTCTCTTAAAATCAAGAGTTCCAGCATTACATTCCTTTAATAGCTACTTCCCTTTCGTAGGCTATTTTTTTTTTCTGTTGATGAACATGTCAAAAGCAGCTGATCCTCTTTTACCTTCTCCCATTCTAAAAGAGAAAATTATACATACAGTATGTTTCTTTGGCTTTAGTATGTTAGCATATTATTCTCTTCATTGTAAATGCGTATCTACCTGTTTCTTACAAACATGCAAAAATGAAAAAAACCCACATTTTTAAAAGTTCCACATTGTAGTTTCCTTTGTAACAAAATTAAAAACATTAAAAGTACATGCAAATAATACATTTATAATTATTATATGAATAAAGTGTAATTTTAGTATTTTAGATCAAACATAGTTTTTATTATTTTGAACCAAACCTTGATATACATTACATTTTATAACATAACAAAATGAGTATACATCTGTTAATGGTGCCAACATTAAATATCAGTTATAGTTTATATTTTCCTTATATTTGTTCATTTTCCTCTGAAACAAACAAAAAAAAATCTTGCTCCAAAATTTCTGGAATGTTTATATCTCAATTTATTTCTTCAAGATTATGAACCATCAAATATAACTATTTTTTCCTAAGGTACAATAGGATTTTATTTACTTTATACAATTTCCACCGTTAATGTTTTGTAATTATTTTTCATTATCATAATACCCTGACCGTATATTTTATTTTTTTTATTTTATTTTTTTTACAAATTTTATTTATAATACAGTTAAAAACAAACATTGAATTTAACGTGACATTCCAGTATATACATTCTTATCAGATTATTCCACTTTTTACAATCAATTCTTCATCTCTACATATACATCTAAGTTTTATATACAATACTTGTTCTAAAATAACATATATTTCTATCTTAACATTCATCTTTAATCCCGACCGTCCTCTTCAAATTCCTCCAGCGGTAAAATTTATCCCAGGTTTCATAATAAACTGATCCACATTTATCTTTTAATATCATTGTGAGCCTGTCCATTTCTGCATGTGCTAATATTTTATGTATTAACTCTTCCTCTGTGGGAATTTCCATGCTCTTCCATTTTTGCGCTAAAGCAAGCCTAGCTGCAGTCAGGATGTGTAGCAGCAGGTAGATTGTTCCCGTGTCATATTTTTCTGTCGTTATTCCCAACAAGAAGAGTTCAGGTTTTAACTTTAAGTCCAATGTTAATATATCCCTCAACCAGTTTCGTGTCCTGTTCCAATACTCATGGGTCTTTGGGCATTCCCACCACATATAGTAGTATGAACCTATTGCTATTTTACATTTCCAGCATAAGATGTTTGAACCCATTTTGGCTAGCCTTACGGGTGGGAAATGCCATCTATAAAACATCTTGTAAAGATTTTCCTTATATGAGGTAGCTAAAGTGAGTTTCCTATTCCTTTCCCACAGTTCTTGCCAAATATGTAGGTCGATACTGAAACCCAAATCCCTTCTCCAAATTAACATGGTCTCCTTAACCTGTTCTTCATACATTGTCTGATCTAAAAGAAAATGATATATTTTTTTAATCATTTTATCCTCAGGACCTAATAAAATTTTATCTAGTTCTGTCGGTTCTATCTTTATACCCCACTCTTTTTTATCTTGCTTATATCTTGCTTGTAGTTGGAGGTATGCCCACCATTCTAATTCTATCCCTGCATCTTGGAGATTCTTCCTCGATTTTAATTCTCCTCTCTCATCTAGTATGTTTTTATAGGTTATTACTTTCTTCAACTGAATAAACCTTGGGTGTATGTACATTTCTAGTGTTGAGATCCAACTGGGGACTTGCCTGTAGTTCTGTCATCGAATTTTGATCCATACATCTATTATGGATGTAGTGCCTCCGGAAGTACTGGTGAACTTTATGCTTCTCATCCCATAACATGGCATGCCATCCCATCTGCATGTCATGACCTTCCAGTTTTAATAATCTTTGATTTTCCAGTCGAATCCAATCTTGCACCCACAGTAGAATTGTAGATTGATAGTATTTTTCCAGATCGGGGAGGCTCAGACCCCCCCCCTTTCTTTAGCATCCTGTAATAATTTTAATTTAATCCTTGTTTTTTTCCCTTGCCAAATGAATTTAAGTATGGTTTGGTTGAAATTTCAAAAGAATTCCTTTTCTAATCTAATTGGTATACATTGAAATAGGAATAATATTTTAGGTAATATGTTCATTTTAATTACGGCAATTCTACCCATGAAAGAAAGCTGGAGATTTGTCCAGGTGTCCAAGTCTGTTTTAATCTGATCCATTAATTTGTCATAATTGTCTCTTTTAATTGTTACATACCTAGCTGTTAGATGTATCCCTAAATATCTTATTTTCTTTGTGATCTGAATACCTAATCTGTCAGCTAGTTCGTTTTTCTGTGTTCTAATCTTATTCTTCACGAGCATTTTAGTTTTTTCCTTATTTATCTTTAGACCTGCCATTTCACCATATTCACCCAGTACTTCCATTAGTCTCATCCCTGATTGTAAAGGTTCTTCGAATATGAAAACAAGATCGTCAGCAAAAGCTTGCAATTTAAAAATTTCTCTTTTAATCTCTAAACCTTTGATATACTCATCCTTCCGAATTATTCTATTTAGTGTTCAGTTTTGGCGATAGTTCTGGTCTTTTTAAAGTCAATTTCATGTCCTGTAGCTTTAAGGTCAAAAAAGAGGAACCAACTTCTTCCCTGATCCAACACCTTAAAGCCACAGGACATGAAATTGACTTTAAAAAGACCAGAACTATCGCCAAAATTGAACACTTTAATAACAGAATAATCAGAGAAGCCATTGAGATAGAAAAACTCCCACACAGCATGAATAAACAAGATGATACCACCCGCCTACCAGCCATTTGGAAACCCGCCCTTATTGACAAATGAGTCCCTAACACAAAGAATGACACCACATCCACACTCACGAAAACCACACATCCACGCAAAAAGCAACGCAAACCCACACTGATGATGAGGCACGACTACAAACCAGAAGCCAGACCACTGCTGCATCATTAGCCACTTTTAACCCCTCCAATCCATACATGAAGCAAACTGACACCCACCATGAAGATGAGGCACGACCACGAACGTGAAGCCAAACAACAGCAACGCAGCTCACCATCTCACATCCCCCTGCAACTCAGACTAACTCGAGCACAACTAAGCCCCCACCCAAACAGAACACTTCCCCATCCAATGAGAGCACAGCCAACCCCCCATCCAATCAGAGCACAGCCAAGCCCCTCACCAATCAGAACACATCTCCACCCAATCAGAACATAGCCAAGCTCCCACCCAATCAGTTCATACCTCCACTGGCAGTTAAAAGGAAGAAACAGCTACGATCACACATTGCTCCTAGAAGCACGAAGCCGAAAACACCAGCCTGAAGATGACGAATGGGACTTCATCAAAACGTCGCCAAGACACTTCCAATTTTACGCGGGAGAAAACCCGAATAACCAAAGACCTACATGCAAACACCTATGAAAACCTCAGAAAACAAATATAATTATATCTATCTATCTATCTATCTATCTATCTATCTATCTATCTATCTATCTATCTATCTATCTATCTATCTATCTATCTATGACATACTGATCTCCAGGACAGAGAATTTTATTATGCATTAAGCTTTTGTTAGCCACTGCTAACATTATCAAAGTGTAAGCTAATGTTGGAGAGACATTATTCTTTATAGCCCTTTAAGTATCAGTGATTTGGTCATTGAGTGTGTAATAAGTCCATCAGTTCGCCACCTGCATGTGATTGGATATATCAATCTCAATTCAACTGTGTTAGCCGATATCTGCCTACCTCTCATTGCTCTACTTCCAGGTGCCTGACCAAAAAGGATGCTATCAGGCCATAGTTTTGCATGCAGGATTAATCTTTCTGGCTATCAAAAGACTGTCATGAAATTAGTAATTAAGTGATTTTGGCTTCTCTCATTGACTGCTTGTTGGAAGCCAGCTGGAAAGGTTATAAATGATAATCACATGAACCTGTGACAGTGCAATTGTCATAAATACATGCCAGTTGCCAAGCATCCAAATGTCAATCACATGACCATGGGGATGCTGCAACAGTTGTAAGTATGAAAACAGTCATAAGTCACTTTTTTCAATGCTGTTGTAACTTTGAACAGTCACTAAATGAATGACTGTAAGTTGCAGGCTACCTGTAGTCTAATTCCTTACAATTTCCATCTGTTAACCCTGTCCTCTGGTGAAATGGAGAACTCTGATCCATCTGCTCTAGGACTACATTTCAGTTACCTGCAGACTCATAGTCATCTCCAGGCTAAATAGGATCATTATAAATCTAGTCATTCTTCTCTGGACAATGCTGCAATATGTTAATGTCCAGTTAAAAATGCATTGCTGAAATCTGGACCAAATATTCCAAATTGCTCCAACTAAAGCAAGACAGAACAGAACTATTACTTCTTGAGACCAGGATATTATGGTTTTGTTAATTTAACTTAAGACTGCACTAACTTTTTAAACGTAATACTGGTAGCCCTTGACTTATGACCGCAATTGAGTCCAAAATTTCTGTTGCTAAGTGAGACAATTATTAAATGAGTTTTGTTCCATTTTACAACCTTTCTTGTCACAGTTGTTAAGTGAATCACTGCAGTTAATAACATGGTTGTTAAGTGAATCTGGTTTCCCCATTGACTTTGCTTGCCAAAGGGTCACAAAAGGGGATCACATGACCCTGGGACACTGCCACCATCATAAATATGAGTCAGTTGCCAAGCATCTGAATTTTGATCACATGACCATGGAGATGCTGCAATGGTTATAAGCAGTGCTTTTTTTGTAAAAAAAAAAAAAAAAGGTGCCGGAACTCACACACGTCATACAACTCGCCTTGCCTACCCTACAAGGTTCCATCCCAAAAAGGTGCTGGAACTCCGTTCTGGGCATTCTGTGACAAAAAAAAAAGCCCTGGTTATAAGTGTAAAAAATGGTCATAAGTCATTTTTTTTCAGTGCTTTCATTGTAATTTTGAAGAGTCACTAAATGAACTATTGTAAGTCAAGGACTACCTGTATTTCTGCTACTTGCACCTCATTAAGCATCTCCATCCTGTCAGAACCTATCCTTCCATCCCCCCACCATCCAATCTCAACTGTTAGTTTTCTTCTTCTTCCTCAAGGAAAAACCCAGTCCAATTGCCCTTTGAAAAAGCACCTTTGCTATGACCTGGGTAACTGAGAATCTCCACAGACCTCATTATGCGTTTCTTCCCTGTTGGTCAGTAAATTCTTTTGTCAATCTTCTGCATACTTTTAGAAGGGCATTGTTTTGGGGTAAAGTTACATTTCCATCAATATAATTGAAACTTACATTTCCTGCTGTTTCCTGCAGTTTGCAGCTATTTCTATAAAAGCTTTGTCATCTGCTCCAGGAAACTGCCACCTATGTCTTTTGATGGCTATACTATCTATGGCATATTTTCACAGCAATATAACTTTTGTTTCTCACTCCTGCCTTTACCCAGGTGCTTGTTTTCTGTACTGATTCATCAGTTTCTGTACGGATGCATCAATTCTTTAGATATTCTATCTTCTTTTTTATTGTCTTACTCTTTTTGAGCAGTATATGATAGAAACCCAAATGTCACCTCATCATATCTTTACGATGCCTATTAAATAATATTTGCCATACAAAATAAGAATTTAATTATATCTTGTTTATTTCTTATTCTCTGTACTTAGATATTAAAGGGCATGAATGCATCTTTCCCATTTCCTTCAATATTTTTCTGTATATTCTTGAAATCTAGTGCTGCTGTACTGCAGTCAAGTTCTTGATTGTGATTTTTGTCCAAATATCTCAGTATGTAGTCATCCAACTCTCCAGTATCAGGTTGAAAGCTGACTTGCCCAGAATTATGAGATATCGGGTAAGCACATTACTTTCTCTCTTTGTGAGGTGAACTCTTAACCCTTTGTAGTGGCACTGTAGGTCACAATCTTCAAAATCATCTTTTCCAGACTACACTATCTTCATTGCAAACAATTTATTCTCCTATTGTTTTTCTCTCAGTATACTGATCTTGGACTGGAAAGAGGGATGAAAACACTTGTGAATCCTGATCCTTAACCTGTATACCCTTAACCACTTATGCTTTTAAGATCTTATTTAATTCTAGCCATAATCTGAGTCTATGGAGGGAGGGAGAGAGGCACTTCCATACAAGACTGTGCCATATGCAGACTTCTCTAATACTACCATTCAACTGCATTCAGTTCCTATGCTGGTTTACCTCTGGGTCATCTATATTTGAAACAGCAGTACAACTAGTATTTTCTTTCAAATGTTGTGGATTGGTGAAGCTTATGGTCACCCATTTTCCTAGTTTCACAAATTGTTGGTTCCACTTCTAGAATCCAGGGACTTCAGTTTCCTTAGCAGGTACTTCAAAAGGAAAGATGACTTCCCTTCATACGTTAGTAACATTGGGGTGCATATTTTTTCTATTGCAATTTTTTTTTAAAAAAAATCAGTATGAAGATAGGGCACAACTGGCAATTTATTTCTCTCTTGTTAAGAGGGGAAGTAATCATGTTTCTTGCAGGATATGTGGCAGGCAGCTCATGGTGAAGAATTTTTTTTTGCTTCTTGTTTTCTGCATTTTGAGGTCAAAAGGTTTCTAGCTAATTGTTGATTATCTTCAAATTGCTTTTGAGAGATTGAGGAATTGAAGGATAGCAGAGTGAAAATACCTCCTTTCATTCATCAATTGCTCATTGTCAGGAAAAAGAAGTTTATTGTGGTACTGTGTTTATCTCCAACTGAACTGTAAATTTCCAAGATATGCTGGGGAGAAGGGAACACCCTGATTTCCATATTTGACTCTTTCCCCAAAGATTATGAAAGAATGTTTTTCTGATTGAATAATTTTTGGTATTCTTTGAAGCACATTAATCCACTTAGAAAATTGGCAATATTCACTTTTCAAATACTGCAGCAACTTTGCAATATGTAGATAAAATCTGTGCTGAGTTGGGCAGCCTTATAAATCTAAATAAAAAAATAAGTAATGGAAACCAAAGGATTAGTAAAGAATCTACCTTTAAAAATTATTCTGCACTAAACTAAAGTGCTCAGGAATGTATCAGTTGCTGTTTTGCTTGGTGTCAGTGCCATATCCTAATGTAGTTCATTGCCTCTGAACCAGCACAAGGGAGACATTCCAAAAGTTCTGTGCTCAAACAACTCTTGGCTGACATGCATAATTCAGTTGGCATAGACTCAGTAATAAATCCTACAAATATATATGCTGTAGTACTACAAAATGATTTATTATGGTATCTATAGCTACATACAAAGCACAACAGAGAGAGATCCTAAAAAGTCACTAGCTGCTTTTTTCTTCGTTATTTTAAAATTATTTTTAAAAAGCAATCGAGTATTCAATATTAAATATTCCTAAACACCCCCAAACCATCTTTTGAAAAAGGTATTAAGTTTAAATTAGTGTATTTGTTTAGTGTATTTTGCTTTGTACTAAAAATACTGTCTTATGAATAAAATGTATTAATTTATGGGCATTATATCAAATAAATGAAAATGAAATAAGAAGAAAGGCTAAACGAGTCATGTAGGTTGGTAAAAGTAAGGCATAACCTTTTAAAAAAATCATACACAAAATAATAAATGTTTTCACATACATTTTAGAATAGTTATCTATGTTTAATTTTCCATTCTTGAGCAAGACTTTGAACCAGATAGACATTTCTGAATTTCATTTAGTATTGGAAGACACTAATTATGCAGCTCATTTATTCCTTTGAAGTGCATTTCTGATTTTGGGACTAAACCAGTTTTGATTGTTCTTGTGGCTTGCATGTAATGAAGAAAAGGCATGGGATACAAGCTAGTTAATTTTCCAAAATCTCTCGATTTGGGGACTAAACCAGCTTTGATTGTTCTAGTGGATTGTATATAATGAAGAAAGGGCAAAGGATGCAGGCTTGTTAATTTTCCAGCATCTCTCAACAGCCTTTTATACTATTGACCTTCTGGATTGCCTGGCTCACTTAGAAGGCATACTAGTAGGTAATTCCAATCCTCCTTGGCAGATTGGTTCCCCAAAATTGTATTATATTTGTAGTTTGCTGTTCTGCCACGGTGAGACCTTTGCTCTTTAGCATGTCATTGTATCATTGATATCCATGCTAGTATAATTCAAGACAGTTTAATTTTGGGCTCATATAACATATTAAATCTTAAACCTGGGTTAACCAATCATATAAATAATGACTTTATATGATGTCACACGCAGCTAGGACAACATCAGGGTTTCTCTGCAAATGAATTATGCAAGTCCATTTTAATCTAGTCTAGCATGTAATGCGAACACAGCCACAGCTTGTGTCTTCTTCTATTTTCAGTTTCTGGATGAGCAGCTTTTTAGAGACCAGAGGCTGTGCATAAGGTAATTGAAAGGGACAAGAACCATGGTAGGTAGAGTCATGTTACAACATTTGAATTGTCACAATATATGCATGGCAGGAGCTAGAATTTTCCTTTCTTTTCTCATTTTTTTTAAAAAAGCAATTGAGTTTTTAAAGTTATGTCACATCTTTTTATAGATTATGATAACAGTTTTCATGCATTCTTACTTCAAACTGTTTATTTTCAACAATTACACTGTTGGAAATTGGGGAGAGTTCCAAGGTCCATAAAAAAGGACCAAGGGCTGCTAAAAATCCAAGTTGCCAAATCCTGTTAATTTCTATATTGCAATTGCAATATTGCCAGAAATTGTAGCAGACTAGCTAGGTCTCTATTTTATTTTACAAATTTGTTTTCTATTCCATAAATAATCAAAGCAATAGCTCCCACTGTACTGCATTATAAGAATATTCTGTTATGAGTGCAAAGTTTAAAAATTGTTACAATTCTACTATGGATATTAAATCCCACCTGCCCCCCATTCTGCCCCTGCCCTTCCCATCTATAATTGAATTTTAATGGTTGGTGTTAACCTATTTGTGTCTCTGTGTGTTTATGTGTGTGTTTAATTGTAAGCCACCCAGAGTTACCCTGTGGTGAGATGGGTAGCCAATAAATTTTATAAAAAAATAAATGTTATATTTTTCCTAATCCCTCCACTAAGTTCTTAAATGAAAAATGGAATAGCCTTCATATTATTTCCTACGTCTGTGTAAATACCAAAACTGAAATCTGTAATAGCCCTCTGATACATTTCATATATTGTATAAATTGCAAGCCACAAGAACTTTAGTTACATGACCGAGTGCTATTGCTTGATTTAACCAAATAAAACAATCCTTTAATAATTAATAATTGTTCCTTTAAATATATAACCTATTGCTTGGTATGCAAGAATTCCATTCAACTGAACATTTTCTTCCCCAAACAACTAGCATGGAACAAATCTACAAAATGAATGTATTTATCTTGCTTTAGGTATCAGTGTATCATCCTTGGGGGAAAGTAATGCTTTTTACAGAGCCTATTTCTACTGGAAAACTACAAAGGATATAAAATACAAAGGTATCTTTTTCAAACCAACTACTGGGGGAAAAACTCATATCATTTTTACTAAGGGATAAATAGAGCTCTTAACTCAAGGGATGTAAAGAATAGCTTTAAAGTATAATAATTTGTATCTAGCTTCTATAGGGCATACAAAAACTGGAGAATAATTAATCATAAATCAACAAAATCACAGTTTCTATTTTTTTCCCCATATTGCCTAAGATGGAAGTAATCGTAGTGATTCAAGGGTCAGGTTTAGCCATGGAGATAATTGGTAACATGACTTAGTTACTATCTCATAGGATTATTGAACTGAATGGAGACCATCATGCAAGTCCAGCAGGACTTTCAGAGGATGAAGTTGAGGATGCGGACTGACTGACCTTAGAAGATGTAAGGAGAACCTGAGACCTGGTGGACTAGTGTGGTATGTATTGTTTGGGTATGCTACCCTGAAATTCCTATTGGCAATCCTGTTCTTAAGTGAGTATGCCACAAACTCACTGTTTTGTTTGCATATAAGAAAATTTCCAAAGAATAGCCTACTAAAAACTAGTTTTCATATTTTCTAACATCCAAAATATTCTCAGAGTATTAAAAAAGGAGACATGATATAGCCATGTGAGATTCATTTTCAGCTTTTATTTTCTATTTGAACTTGCGGACAGGTTAAGGGAGAATGCAAATGCCTATCATTTTTGTGGTATTTGATTAATTGATTATGTCCTAGCAATCATTTTCTGCATGACTGTCCCTAACCTGTTCTTTCAAGTCTCCCAACAGTGCTGTCATTGCCGCTGTAAATGAATCCATCCATTTTGCTGCTGGTCATCCTCTTCTTCTCTTTCCTTCCACCTTTCTCGGCTTTAGACTCTGAGTCTTTACATAATGTATCTGAAATAGGATAATTTGAGCATGGTCATTTGCACCACATATGAGAACTCTGGGTTGATTTGTTCAATGATCAATAAGTTGTTGTTTTTTTGTTTTGTTTTTTGGCTGTCTGTGGTATTTCAGGAGTCTTCTTCAAAAAAGTTCAAAGGTGTCACTATTCTTCCTATCCTGCTTCTTCAAAGTCCAACTTTCATTTCCATAGAGTATCTCGGGGAATAATATGACTGGCACAGTTCTGATCTTTGTGGGTAGAGACATATCACAGCATTTGAATATCTTTTTCAACACCTTCCTTGCTGCTCTGCCAAATGGCATATTTCTTGACTGCTTATTTCTTTGCTATTTATTTTACTATTGATCCTAAAAGGCTGAAGCTATCCACCATTACCTTCATTGTGTGATTCTAATTCTAATGCTGGTATTACAGATGTAAAATGAATCTGACTCATTACCTAATTAGCAGATAAATTAGCTGGTGTATTAGCTGATGTAAGCACCTGGCCTATCTTTCTAACATTTTTCAACAACAAAAAAAAAAGATTTGCTTCAACTCATATTGTGCCAATTCACCCAATCAGTTTTCTTGCAGTAACACAGCTAAGATTCTCACTTTAGATGCAAAAGGCATCGCCCATTTTTTTGAAGGCAGAGTGGAGCTGAGTGGCAGACCACACACTTCACATTTTGATGATCTCAGTCATTGGCATTACCAATTTTAAAAGACTCAGATAACAGCTGATGTAGAACATTTCTGCCAGATACAAAATTTGAAAATTCCAATACATCTGGAGGCCCCCAGATTGGGGAATACTGTCCTACATTTATAGTATTACACTAGATTCCGTGCAATTTAGTCTCCTTGATTGTGATTAGAAACAATACATTGAAAAAAATATTTTTCGTACCTGTTATGTATTGATTTTATATAACCTTTATTACAGGGGTGTCAAACTACCGGCCCGCAGGCCAGATGCATCACCAGGAAACTGCGCCCACCCCATTGCTGGCAATGGAGAAAAAGCTCTGATATGTCGTGTGACATCACGTGACGTCGCGAGTTTGACATGTCTGCTTTATTACATCTGTGAATGGTGCAGGATATAAAAAAGCAGCCTTTGTGTAAATCTCATATATATTTGGGCCCAAGCTGCTGTTTGTACAACAGATGGAATGAGTCATAATATTATCACACTAAATATAATATGCTATGCTATATTGTACCTACAATAAGGAAACACAACAGTCAATATCTGATTTCAATCATTTTTAATACTTTAGCACTCAAGAACTCAGATATTGGTGTCAATATAAATTCTTTTGCAATAAGCTCAGCCTTTTAAAAGATATCTTTTTATGATTAAAAGGTTAAATTATGTATAAAAACAATCCTTTTGTGATTCTTATTCCACCCAGTTTCAGACCCATTAAAAGCTAATTAAACGGATGTGTGTACCACATGCTACACTGAGGAAGGATGCAGCCACATCATCAGCTCTTATCCTTTTGCTTAGTATGGAAAATAGCATTAGTGGTTTTAAGTGGTTTAGTTAACATGGTGGGAGACAGCATGTTAATATTAACAGCTACCTGAATCCCATGTAAATATTTTTCTCAAGCCCAAATTTCACAGCATTTTCAATACCTAGTTTCATCACAATGAAAGTAGGAACGATACAAGAATGTTAACAATATTCCATTAGAGCCAGCATATATCTATGTATCTTAGGGGTTACATATATTCACTTTCAGATTCTCACAAAACTCCTAATGTAACAAGAAGAAGCTGGACTTCTTTTCTTTTATTTCATTTCTTTCTTTTTGTTTTGTTTTGTTTGTTTTGGATACAGTGGAATGATCTGTGCTATGGGTTGTTTAGAGAAAACAACCCATATTGAAAATTTATCAAGGTGAAACAACCCTTTCATAATGTACTAAAGGAGAAAATCAATCTTTAACTATATTCTTTCTTCTGGGTTTATCCATATATGGTTTTGAATATATCTGCCTGACTGTTGTCCTTGCATATCTTTGATACATGATATATTCTGGTTGATTCTTGATCCAAAAGAACCCCACAGATAACCATGAAGTAGACAGAGGATATTCTTCTTTGCAGCATAGTAAAGTTTCAAGTGGCATCAGAGCAGGTGGATTGGAATTGATAGCTAAATGGTAGATTTTAAATAATTACTGGTTTTAATTAACACTCTGAAGATAAACAGCCAGAGCCTATTGGCAGAAAGTTAATTAAATAGAAAGGGAAATTGTTGGAATAACCAATTGAATTTAATTTTGGAAAGCTCCAGAATGGGCTAGGGTGGCCAACTATTCTCCCTGTGGCTAGTATAGTTTCTTTCTGCTGATCAGATCAGGCCATTTACAATAGCAGCCTGGTTTATCCCCATTGCGCCAGAAAGTTAGATGGTATAATCCCTTCAAAGTGGTCCAAAGCAGGAAATCAAACTTAGGAATGCTAATGCTCCTTTTTTATATAAGTTTCAGTAACAAAATGTTGGAAATCTGAATGTACCACTTCTACCTCTGCCTTTACATTCAAAAGAACTACGGAGGATCAGGTCTGAGATGCTTTCTCAAATTACAGTTCTGCTTTGGACTCAGTTTCTCTTACTTGACAGTTTTCTTTCTGTTTCTCAAGGCTATTCTCACAGCTGATTACAGATGCCCCCATTTTAGGGAGGTTATCTACGTAGCTATATGAATTGCCTCAGGCATGATGTGTTTTTGTTTTTTGTTGGTTATTTTCCTATCATTTTAACTGGATGTTAGCCACTCAGGATCACATGAGCAAGTGAGCTGCCATATCAATTTAGTAAACAAACATAAATAATAAATATTCCAGGAAGTAGGTAATAGAATTCTAGAATACAATCATCCTTCTCCAACACCAATAATACAGAAGATATTTCTTTAGGTGTTCTCTGTTGTAGAACATAGTAATCTAATCTAAAACTGCAGAAATCACATATATACACAAGGTAGAAGTTCTACCCACTGTTGAGAAAAGCTCAGTATCTAATGATTAAATAATGCATGCAATAAATTGTACTCGCTCTAAACTTAAGTGATGTTGCTGTACTCTTTGTACTGAATATTCTCTGTACATTATAGCTCCTTTTAGTCAGAAAGTCATTGGACAGATGGTTTTCCCAGAGATATGTGTATTAAAATATATGTACTGTATTAGTATAACACAGTTTGGTGCAGTGATTAAGGTGTTGGATTTGGAACAGGGAGATCCATGATCTAATCCACTTCAACCATGGAAGCTAGCTGTCAATCCAACCTCACAGAGATTTTATTTATTTAATTTATTGGCTGCCCAACTCCAATGGATTTTGGAGCAAAATTCCATAGACTCTGGACACTATGGGGCAAAATAAGAGGAGAAATACGTGCCTAATAAAATAGGTGGATCTTAACAATGCTTCTAAAGCCTGGTGGGGGAGAGAGACCACATAATATCCTAGGATGGGAGCTTCAAAATATGGGGGCAGCTATTAAGAAATCTCCTTCGGAAATCCTGTCACCTGGCAATTATAAAAGGACAAGACCAGGATGGAGCTGACCTTATTCAGAAAGGCAGGTAGATATAAGAGAAGGTGGTCCCTCAGATAGGACTAGAAACCTAGTCAAAATCAAAGGAGCATAAATTTCCTAATACTATAATAACCAATTGCATGGAGCTACACAACTCTCATATTTCAAGCATTCTTCTCAGGAGGAAGCACAAGGCCCTCATAGGAGCTCCTTGTTAATTGTATGGATGTTGTCAGGTTCCTGACGTGTGTACAGATAGTCCTTGTTTACAACCACAATTCAGTCCAAAATTTCCATTGCTAAGCAAAACAGTTATTAAGTTAATTTTCTTGCTTAAGGGTAGTACCTTACTTTTCTCACCACTAAATTGTATTTTGTTGGATAGGGCCCAGTGCTCAAGTCTGTTAAGATCCTTCAGAATCTTGAATCTATTTTCCAAAGTGTTAGCTATTCCCCCCAGCTTAATGTTGTTTGTGAATTTGATGAGTACCCCTTCTATCCCCTTCTATGGAGATGTTGAAGAGTACTGGACCTAAGGCAGAACCTTGAAGTATTCGTCCCTCCTTTTGATGTAATCCCACGCACTGAGTGTTGTTGGTCAGTCAATTGTGAATCCACCTGTTGAGGGCATTGTCTATCCCATATTGTTTTATCTTTCCAAGAAATAGACTGTGGTCTCTTTTGCCAAAGAGTGAATTATAATCTCAACAAGACTGGCTATATTTGATATTTTTACAAAATAAATAAACAAGCAAACAACTCTTTCAGAGCACCTTCCCCCCAATAAAAAGTGGCTACCGTATATATGGATTTGCTATACAATGAATATTTCTTCTCCTATAAAGCTCCTATTGCCCTTGCTCTCACGCTATGGTCCAACTGAAACTTCTGCAGTTTGATTTGATCAACATGTATTTTAGTATATATTTTTTAAAAAATTGAATGTCTTCTAATTAAGTACAGTAACAGGCCTATTTTTCCCCATAACAACCCATATGGTGCAAATGTATCCTTGCAAACTAACTCTCCTTTCACTAGGTCCAGCACTCCAATACTGTTGCATATGTTGTGTTTTTCTTCTTTAAACTTCTTATCTCTCTCTTTTTTCAGGATCTCGTCAGTTCCATCCAATAAGTTTCTTGGTCCATTACCTCTTAAGCCATTCACATCTTTCATAAATTTGCTTTATAATTCAATCCTGATTCATTCTCTTTATATGATCAACTCACATCAACCATGTCTTTCATGGTGATCACTGTCACTTTTCTATTCAATTTATTCATTCTTGACCCTATCTCTTTTTGTTTTACCACATATACATCTTAACTACTCTACTGCTTTTGCATTCAACATATTTTTGGAGTTTCTGTGGACATACGCAACTCCCACTTTCATATAACAAGGTGAACAGAAGTGTCATTTTTTTCAACTAATATTAATTTCAAGCTACCAACTACCTTTCTACATTTTTAATATCCCCATTTGTTTCCCCATATTTAATAAACATTCTACAAAGTACAAAAATTTCTCCATTTTGCACTATTTTCACCATTTTGAATAACCTGTGATTGTTCACTCCATGTTCTCTATTAAAGAAATAATTTTTCATATCCATTCTCCTTGTCCACCAAATCTGACATTCACTGCAAATTATTCAGGCTCTGAGCCAACAGCATGGCATCATTAGCATACAAAAGTGCATGTACAATTGTATTCTCTATCAGCACACTTCTAATGACATTAATAGCATTTCTTATACATTTATCTATAAATGCACTAAAGAAACAAGGAATATCTGACATTCTCATTTTCCTCTCTGAACTATTCATTAAACATTTAATTTATTCTCACACATGCTTTATTCCATTATATACAACTCGTATCATATTTAACCAACTTTCCGCTCTGTATTTAATTAAAATATTATGTACATTGAGCTTATTCACTTATTCACTTTCTTTAAATCAACAAATATGATAAATTTTATTTTTCGCATCCATTCTTTATCAATGACTTGCTGCAAATGCAAAAACCTCATTTGTATATCCTCTGTCCAGTATAAAACCAGAGTGTGTTCACATCCTGTATCCTTTCAGTAACAGTTCAGCCAAATATTTTCTTAGAAACATTTAGCAAATTAATCTCTCTCTGGTTTTTGCATTCACTATTTTTATCCTTACCGTTTATTAAAAAGAGGAAAATATTTGTAGCCTCAGGGTTGAAATGAGGGGTTCTTGGTGCTCTCTGAGCTTGATTGTTTTCTTGCAGACATTTTATTACCCAAACTACATAACATCATTAGTGCTATCTTTTATCCTTACATGACCAGAGCATAAGGATATTCTTCCTATCATTAAATACAGTTGCAGTCTTCCCACACACATTAAGCAAATTGCATAGCCACTCCATAAGCAAATCACATCCTATTTTAACATTTCTCAAGTTACAGCAATGATACCCACATCCTTTCTATTTTTTTCCTGACATAGTCTATATGTCTTTTTTTTCTTGGAACTATCTATCATTTATAGGATTTGTTTTAATTCCACTTTTTTCATGAGTAGTCATGTCTTCTGGATCTGTTTAGATGCTCCATTCCCATTACCATTTGCCAAAAGTAAAGTTACTAGTGAAGTTATTGAAGTCTAAACTTTTAACATCATTCTTGTTGTTAGTTGCGAAGCTGTGTCCAACCCATTGCAAACCCATGGACAACGTTCCTCCAGGCTTCCTGTCCTCTACCATCTTCTGGAGTCCATTTAAGCTCACGCCTACTGCTTCAGTGATTCCATCCAGCCACTCATTCTCTGTTGCCCCCTTCTTCTATTGCCCTCAATCTTTCCCAGCATTAGGCTCTTCTCCAGTGAGTCCTTCCTTCTCATTGGGTGGTCAAAGTACTTGAGTTTCAACTTTGGGATCTGGCCTTCTAAAGAGCAGTCAGGGTTGATCTCCTCTAAGACTGACCAGTTTGATCGGCTTGCAGTCTAGGGGACTTGCAGGAGTCTTCTCCAGTACCATAGTTCAAAGGCCTCAATTCTTTTGTGCTCAGCCT